AGGATATAGAGGCAGATCTAACTTCCAGCCACTTCTCCCATACAACTGACTGAAATGCTCACATGTAGTGGAGCTGAGATAAAAGCTGGTAGGTGCAGCTGGAAAAATTATAGTAAATAATATTCAAATCAATTTTGCTACGTAGCACCATAAAAACAGTATAAACAAATAGATAAATAATAAGTGATCGAATAGGAACATGTTGTAATAATTGTATCAAGCATAGCTCATCAACGAAAAGTTCCTTTATTTCAATTGTCGGGATTCGAACCTGAAACCTTTTGCTATCAAGGCGAGTATTATACCCATTAAACTACAACTGAAATAACTTTCATTGATGAGCTATGCTTGGTATGATTATTAATACATGTTCTTATTCGAGCTATATAATATGTTTGATTCCCCTTAGAGACCTATTTTTTTCATAAAACTAGAATAAGGAACTTTTGTTGATCAACTATGTTTCATATGATTTATAACATCTTGTTCCTATATGAGAGCTGTATCTATTTGAGTTATACATTATTTGTGTTCCCAGCAGTGGCGTAATAGAGGGGGGCCGGAGACAGCTGGGCAGGGACTGTTTAAGGGCCCCCAGACACTTAGGGCTAGGGCCGCAAAGGGCCCCGGTGAGAGTCTCAGAAGTTTTTAGCGTTTTGTGATGTATTTTAATGTCTTTTCTACACATTCAAATTCTAAGTTTATGTATCGTGATTTAAACCAAAAAAGCACACTTAATTTTAACTAAGATCTCACTAATAAACATATTATAATGAATGCCAAACAAAACGAGCCAATTAAAATTAATAAATATTTATGGACAAAAACATATAATATATAATGTAAAAAATGTACAATACTCATGTGTCAATGCTTTTGCTCGTGGTTTAATTTCTTGTTTCACATGGTTGTTGGTCTTAATGATTTTTTAAAATATAAAGTTTAGTGTTCTTTTATCGATGTAAAGTATAGACTGGCAATAGTGATGATAATACAAATGCCCCAATCTCTCAGAAGACTTTGGCCTGAAAAAGGGCCTTGATTATTTGTTTGTAAAAAAAAAATATTTGAATTTGCTTGGGGTCCCTTGATGCTCCAGGGTCTCTGGCTTTAGCCAGTGAGAGCCCATAGCCATTACGCCACACTGGTTCCCAGTGCTAGGCACCAACTTTTAAATATTATTTCCTATTATTTACCAGCTGCTACCTATAATCTATTACAAAAATTTGCCCCACTATTTGTGAGCGCTCAAGTTATATGAAGGGAGAGAGACTAGTGGTCTTAGATCCGTAATGATATCGTACATGCCTCTGTGGTCTAAAGGATATGATGCTCGGCAGGATAGCAAATGATTGTGGGTTTGATTCCCACCAGAGACCTGTTTTTTATACTACTATTATAAGGAACATTCATTGATGAACTATGTTTGATATGATTTAATAATATCTTGTTCGTATATGAGCACTGTATTATAATCTATTTGATACATATTATTATATTTGTTGAAGATAGAGGTGTGAACATATATTTAGAATATTTTTTTAAAATATATTTTTAAAATATACATTGAAGTACATGCATATAAATTTTGAGTAAATTAGATATTCAGTCATGATAAAAAAAAAATCAAGCTAAACACTGCCCTCTATTGTTCTTTACATTTTCCATTAAAAGAATATTGACATCTACTACACTAGGTATGTTAAAAACATATAACTTGAAATAGGCATAGATCACTTTCTTTTGCAGCACCACTTTGGAATTCAATCCCTACACACATTTAACATGTTACTTTTGTGCTTCATTTTAAAAGTTACTGCATATGGTAGCACCAAAAAATACTGTAGCTTGATCACAGAAATGACGCTTTCCAAAATAGTATAGTTTAATCAGATTTGATTTTACTTTACTCCTAGTTTTGCTGAAATAGATATTTTTCATACAATAGAATAAAATAACAAAATACAATAAAATGCTCTCCAATGGCTAGCGAAGTCTATTAATGCCTTACCAAATAAAAATTTAAAAAAATGAAATACATGTAAAATACAAATTGATAAAAATGTATTCAGTTAAAATCATAGGTTACTGGTAAATACAACATGAAAATAGATTCATTTTGTTTATTTTATGTCATTTGATATTTTTAACCAGTTTGATGTTGTACAGTAAATTCAATCTTTGTAGGTTGAGAATGGATAAAATATTTTTAAAAATTTGGGCAGAAAGAAATAGCAAAACATATTTGGACTTGCATTAATTGTTTGTAATTTGAATTCATAATGGTATTATTCTGGCAATACAGTAGTTGTAATCAGATGCAGTAGAACCCCTATTAAGATTCTTACAGTTGTTTATTTTATTATAATTACAGAATATTTAAAATAGAATTAAATAATTCATGATAATTGTCTTTGCAAATACAATACATGTATGATATGAAATCAAGATAAATAATATAATTAACATAACATGTCATTTCATTATGTGCTATAAATAATATTGTAAAGCCCTTTATTTTCACGATTTACAATTTGAAATATTTTGCGGCCTTATAATTTTGCGAATTTGAAATTTCAAGTAGTTTTTCCAACATGATGCAGAAATATACAAAGGTTTTTCGTCTATATTTTCAAGCAATGTCATACCCTCCCCATTTTTAGGCTAATTACCATAGGCCTAAGCAGGCCTACTGCAGCTACTCTAGGGCAAGCTTGAACAAGGTTTTTTAAGTCGTACTGTTAAAAATCTTGCAGAAAATATAGGCCTAACAAAGTGCTGTGATAGTTAGCAGTTATCAACTGAAGGGAAATATCTGTTATAGAAGAATGCTGCGATTTTGATTCCGTTGAAGGTAGGCCTAGGCTTAGCTAGCACCACCACACTAGTAGGTAAGTGTGATGTAATGGCCTAGATAGCCAAAACAGATATAGCTATAGATTTGCTTTTGAAGACAAAACCATCATTGAGAATTTCACGATTTTTCACATGCCCTTAATTTTCGCGATTGTCGTCTTATCGCAAAAATTAAGGGCGCACGAAAGTAGTAGGACTACTTAAATAATTTATTTATACTATATTTATTTATGGTTTAATGTATTTGTTGTGGTACATTAAAAATTAGGGACTGGATTAAAATTACTGTTTGATAGTACATGGAAAAAGGGGAAAATATGTCCTGTGGTAAATTGATAAGATAGATGGTTTGTAACACATGCAGGAGGCCTATACTGATCTCTATCTCTAAGCCTGGTTCAGTGTTTAATTTATGGCTCAAACGTTGACCAAATATAAGTTTTAATGAGTGATATTTCTATTTTATTACAGTTCTCATGGTACAATAAAAAAATATTACTGTCCCTTGTTGACAGGTGTTGATTTGACCATTTGGCACACTCTAAAAATTATCTGTCCTTTTAATATTGGGGGTATTTAATAAAGGTGTCTCCTGAATAAGGGTGTCCAAAGAAAGTTGCATTTTATTAATATTTCATTTTCAGTATATAAATGATCTAAATTCATGACTGACCCCTATGCACTTGAATATTAGAAAAACTTAAAATTTTGATAATCATAATAAGGCAATAATTGACATTTATTATCATTGTGTTCTAAATAGCCTTGGAGATGTGTTATTTCCATTAATGTTCCTTGTAGTGGTAGGTGAATTTTTTTTTTTCCATTAGCAAGTTTTGGCAAAATGTAAAATTCAAATTATAATTACTGTATATACTTGAAATATTTTTATAATTAAATTAGCTCTCAGTATGCAAAGATTGCATTTAAACCTACACATAGAGTGGTGTGTATTTACGTCACCATAAACATGATGAAATGAATATTATTGCCAACCTGACATGTGAACTCCGTAATAATAATATTAATTAATAATAATATTTAATGATAATTACAGTACTTGGGTTGATGGAGAAATAATATATTACTGTATGTTTCTGTCAATTCAAGTACAGATTTATCATTAGTGTTTATTTACATCACCATAAATAGATGATGATATGAATATTATTGCCAATCTGACATGCAAAAACCGTAACAATATTATAACAATAATAATAATAATAATGATAAGTAATAGTAAATAATAATAATGCTGCTTTATAGTAAAATTCTGCTTAAATTAGCTTCCCTTGACAAATGTGTAGTCTAGTACCTATTCTGAGTCAAGTAAACTAGCGGTAAGGCAGGGGTCCACTCACTACAGCCTTAACATCTGCACTGGTTCGAGCTGCTCTTCACCCAAGGTTTGGTAGTTTGAACCAACTCTTCTCGGATATCTTTCAGTGCATAGTGATTATTTCAAAAACTCCTAATTGAATGAAGGAATGAAATTACAAAAGTATATATTGGTTTTGGTTATCATAGCACATATTACCTTCAGTTCTGTTTAATATTGCCATTTGACAAGGCAACTAGGAATATCAATTTGATTTCTCAAAATTGCCATGATAATGTACATTTTATAATTAATATTGTAATCTCCATATGATTTATTAGAATACTTTCACTAGTCTTAAAACCTTATTTTATTAGTATTTTTAATAAAAGATTAAGAACATAGTCAGTTGAAAATTTTTATTATTACAGAGTGAAATAGGGAAAGTAAGGGCATTATCCATGACCGATTGAAATTATGCATACGGCCTGCATATACTTGTTGTCTGATTGCTCACCCTTTTTCCCTAGTAGTTATATGAAGGAAAAATATTCAAGCTTATTGAGCTACCATAGCTGGAAACCAATATGTCTCGCATAAATAATGGTGTATTCCATTTTGTAATGGGGTAGAACCAATTTGCATTCAACAGAAGACTATAAATATAATGTTAATTCTACTTAACTTCACTTGTCATCGTTTAATGAGGTTTGACGAATATTTAGCATTTCAACGTGTTTTTGATTGATTCTTTGCCTTAGATTCCTTGTGATATTTTGCTTTCTGATATAATTAGGTAAAATAATGGTAGATGCCAATGGATAGGTAGTTAATCAGTAGCAGTTGTCATCGTTGTTCTTGGAGTGAGCAGCATCCTAGGCTAAGATCTTCCCTAGAGAATCTCATCACAATAGTGTTTGGGTAGTGGAATGATACCTTTTGTGTACCCCAAAGTGACATTCAGCGTAGATGTGTAGACAAGCAGATCTCATCATACACAGCCTCTCAATTATGAGCCTTTGCTGGTGAAGAGAGAATAAACTGGAAAAGGAATCCACCTAATTTTTGTCACCATGACACTGTCTAAATTATTGATGTGCTTCAATACTGTTTGCTCATATATCTAAAAGCATAGCAATATGCGGATCTATGATTACTCTTGAATGAACTCATTGACGTATCTCTGTGGATCAGGCATCACCTTTGGAATAACTTACTGACTGTCAAGGCAAGTAGGAAAAACACCAACATTTTATTATCATTGAGGATATAAATCCCATGGATAGATTTTTATGAATTGGTTTGATTTGAAGCGAGGAAGTCCAAGATGACATGGACTCGAAAGGAACCGACTCGAGGATCATACGCTTCGATAAATCAGTTCGATCCCGACATTCCAATATCAACAGATGAGGTAAATATCATATTCTTAATTAATATGTTAATATAAATATGAAATAATTAATGTTCCATTATGAAAGTTAGTGTATATAAAGGTAAAATGTATACTTTTTACTATTTAAAATAATATATTTATTGTAAACTAGTATTTTTGACCATAGAGTCATATCATATACTGATCCTATTATATTGTAAGTACAAAGATTGTATATAATACAAGATTCAATGAAACAAAAATTCAATAAAAACCCAATAAAAGGAATGGCCTTGCATAGTCTGTACAGATTTCTAAAAGAAAATTCTATAAAGCCATCTAAAGGGAAAATATGCATAATGACATGATACCACGCCTAGAGGGTGAGAAAAACCATGAAGCCTATGGCTAGATTAGAACATTTTTTTTAATATGAAAACCTCAAAATTGTAAGATCTAAATTATATTGTTATTTTTAATCCAGGCTCTCTGAATTCAAAATGTGTATGTATTGAGCTGTTATAAAATTATGGTATATATTTTAAAAATAAAGTTACTAGAATTATTAATTAGTAAATTTCAATTATGTATGATTATTACTAATTAAGTAGAATTGACTAGCAACTGAAAATTGGCTGCTCAGTGGTATTTTTAGAGAAGCAAATGTGATAAGTATATAAGCTCATACATAATAATTTTACACACAGATGAATTATTACCAGCATTTCAACAAAATTTTCTGTTTTCATGCAAATGCAATATTTATTATTATATTTATTTATTTCCGTAATGTATAGAAATATATAATAATTGTAAATTATTATTTAAGTAACTAGAGAACTGCAGAAAAACTATCATTTACCTTTGCAGTCAATTGACACACACTTATAAATGTCATGTCAAAGAATTTCATTAAAACACCCTTTAATCTCCTTTACAATTATGTAAATTAAAATAAAGATCAGTGTTTGTTTAGTTGTTTCAATCCCAATTAGTGCTCAATTTGAATAATTTATTTTCTGTGGTTTGATCCATTTAAGGCAGAGATAAGAATTTGCAACCTAAGATTTTTTTGTTTTGTTTTGGCATCTTAATTCTTGCATATTTCATGGGAAAGAACTTGATTTAGATAAGGTGAGACCAATGTTGTAATTAGCAAAATTGTTAAAATAAAAAATATATATCTAAACCAATTTTATTTCCTTTGTAATACAATTTCCAGTATACAGGGAAGTATAGATTATAAAACATTTAATCTATTATTGTCATGTGGTATATTACATTAATTTATTTTTTATTAATTATTTTTATTATTAGTTAAAATAAAGATCAGAGCCAGACCACAGGGGGGAATTATATTTTTTTATTACATTAAATAATCTTTTGAAACCCCTAAATTGTCCTAGGTTTTGGGGGTTTCTCCCTTTGGACCACTATTGAAAGATTTTGGGCGACGCCCACTTTTCTCTCATCGGAGACTTTATTTGATAAAATGTATATACAACTTAATATCATTTTCGGAGTTAGTTAGGAAATTTAGATCTTCGTTTAAACAATACTTATGAATATAGAATTAATATCATGATTATGTATGAATATTCTGAATTAGTCACAATATTCGATGATAATGATATGAATTCCAGCATACTAAATCATTACCGATATTTAAAAATGTTAGAGAATTTGAAATAATTTTTATAATGTAGCAACCATTTTATTCATCTTGTAATTGAAAACAGTTAAAATATAATTAGTCTATAGATCTATCATGAATACACGATAGATAGATATGAGCAAGTCTTCGTCAATAGACTGAGTTACACAGGCATAATTTTTTACCTTCCAAATGACGTCACACATTTAATTTCGAATGACATTTGGGACTGCATAAAACCTGCACTGTTCATTTCCCATTAGAGAATTTGTAATGCAGATTTTATAATGTATGCTGAAGGGTTGACTGATAAGTGATATAACATAGAAATTACTTGTTACAAAAATAAAATAATTTAAATGTTATAAAAAACATGGCATGTTGAAAAATATACAATACAAACTCTATGTAAATGAGTTGTTGACCTGTTGCAAAAATATGTATTCAAGACACCAAATTGTCAAGGATACTTAAACATGCTACTATATTGTTATTTAATGAAATTATAAGGTTCATTCTTTTATATTGATACATTGACATGGTTTTAATTATTGTCCTATATATTTTTACCTAATGTAAATTTGATTTTGTAATTTTTTGTTTATATTTCTTAATTTTTAAAGGATTTATAAGTGAAAATGATACCTCTATATCTATATTTTATTTCACAATATGCAATAGTCCCAATTTCACATCAAAGTAAAAACATGGTTTGCCATGGTAAAAATAGAGCTGTGGAATCCTTTGGCAAACATTTTCCTTCCTGTCTTTTTTTGTAAACATCTATTTAGAATATCAAATGGACATTGAATACCTACCAAAGGAAGGATAAATGTGTAGCAACCACACATACAGTATCTAGCACTAGAGTTAGGCTGGCCTAGTAAAGCTAACTAGGGAAGATGTTTGACTTAGACAAATATTATTATAGATGTAAAAAATAATGTTAAATGAAATTATTTCACTTAGGGAGCCTAGATTAGATTAATGCATTCAATTATTCCAATCTAACCTTCATTCAATAATTTCTATCTAGAATAGTTTACAGGGCGATAATATTTGACTACCCCTCAGAACTTTCTTTAGTATTATTTGACCATGAAGTTCCACTCAGCATGGCTGATTTTCGAGTACTCTCGCATAAAACCAAAAATTCACAGAATACTTAATCCACACTAGCATAGGCATTTATAATGCACCTCTTTCATGAGGTTATAAAGCACAGTTCTTTTTCCTGGTCATTGTGTCCACATGCTCTCAAGTGTTGCTTCTGGTAATCAGCACAGGAGCAGGCAACCACACAATCTACCCATTTATACTTGTAGGGTGTGTTTCTACTGATAAACACAAAATAATCAATTTTTTAAAACCGTTTTTTTAATGAGTACCAGACAGCCTGCTGGAGTTGCAACTACATTTTTAATTTTTTCGAAAATCGGTTTTCGTGACAGAAATTACGTCACCATTTTGTTTATACGACACGTTGTTTTCCTAACTGTATAGGATAGTATCTTTCTCATTCCTGTCATGATGACGAGGAGTAAGATAACGATGTGGGGCGAGAAGGCAAATGTTTTCGGCTGTGCTCATCGGCACAATTATGAATGACAATCAAACGAGGACAACGGTAGGCCCAAAAGAGCGGAGAGTCCTAGGCCCAAATACCCCCTCCCACAAAATAATTAGAAAATGAATTCGTCACTCCTCATGTTTGTTGACGTTTTTAGCTTGTAGGCCTAGGACATGAACAAGAGGACAAATTTTTTAGTTCCTATGCATGTAATGCAATAGGAACTATTGTAATCACTCTTCACATTTTAGAAATTTGCTAAAAATATTACTGTAATTTGCCTGTCAAATTACATTACTGAAATCACTATTTTGGGCCATAAAGACTCCCCTGTATTTTTCAACCTCCACACAAATTTGACCCAACATA